CTCAAGAGCATGTGAACACGTTGATCGGATTACTGACGAAAACTGATTTTCTGCAGTTATCGGATTAAGTGCATGTAAACACAAAATTATTTGTGTTTCTTCTGAGCAAAAACAAACAAACTGCCCAGATAAACAGTTCTAAAAGCTTTTCTTGGCTGTGTTGTCACTGGTGATAGAACACATAAGCAGCTTTAGGGTTAATGAAAGAGATTGATTAGCTAAGTTATCTTTTGCCTGTGAGTGAAGGGGAGAGTGTCCTGTGATTTCTGTTCATCTTTTTTTCTCTTTTTCACTCCAGACTGGCTCTAAAAGGGAGAAGGTGTGTATGATCTGTGGCATTTGCTTGCGTGTGATTGATTGACTGATTAATTGATTTTTGTTTGGTGATTAAAATACATACAGCAGCCACTAACACAGAGTATTAAAACACAATGAAGCCTTTAAAGGTTATTTCCACTGTAGTCCTCATCAGGTAAACGAGAGAGGCACAATAAACATAACACAAAACAGTGATACAGCACACAGACAGGCCGACGGCCGGGTGGACTATCAGTTATAGCGCTGATATAAGTTACCTCAACTGACTGGAACAGTGTTTTTAGCAGTTAGCAGCATCTTAATGTAAGTCAGCTTAATATAATCAGTTCAGCTTTCTGAAATCAGCAGCCTCTAAATATATGCGGTCATATGCAAACGTTTGGACTACTCCTGGTCACTTTACACATTTTGTTGTTTTTCTGTATGAATGTATGTTGAGGTATCCTCTACAGTGGACACACTTAAATATGGTTCTGCTAGTTTTACTGCACTGTTTCTGTTTATTTGCTGAGTTTAATGCATTGGAGAAAAATAAAAGATAAAACTTAAAAAGTGCCATAACTTTTCCACAGACCACATTTGATGCCTTATTTTTTCCAGTATGGTAAAATTCGGTAAATAAACAGTAATTCTGTAAAGTAAAGTTTTAGAGCAGCTCTTTATTATGAGCTTTTGTAGATTATTTTGAGTTTCTGTGCTGATGTCTTATACCAAGATGTGGTTGTGTAACCAAGATTGGCTTTTCTAGCTGTATCTTTGGGTTTTTAATTTATTTTGAGGCGTTTTAAAGCCATATCTTTCACTTGTTTGGGACCCGTCTCGCCAAGTTAAGTCTATCGGATCACCTGCTCCAGCTAATCAACCACTTCCCAAGTCCCTGATTGGCTGGATCAGATGTATTAGAGTTAAGTAAGGGGCGGGGCAGCCTATTGGAGACAGGTTGGAGCTAAACTCTGCAGGATGGTAGCATCTCCAAGACCAGGTTTGGAGACCCCTGATCTAGATGTGATTATAATGTATCATCCCATAGACACCCTGATTACATTCTGAAGGTCTGCACTGAGGACGTTCTCAGCAGTTACGTGTTTGTTTGATTTCACCTTTTGTTTGTTTGCTTTGACTCCAGGCTGAAAAGAGGGACAAAGAGAAAGAGGTCAGTTCATGAAATTCTCCACACTGTACTGTGTAACAGTATTGAGTTCAAGCACAGCATTAGCAGCTCAAAATTCCCCCATAATTCAGTGTGTGAGATGGAAACAGAGAGATTCAGAGTGGTTTGGTGTGAAATGGTTCAGATGTCTTTACAGTGGTGGTGATAGGAACCAGGGGTCGCCATGACTACAACACAAATATAGTTTACTATCCAAAACCGCCAGTGAACCTACACGAGAATGGTGGACATCCCCTTTAAGTACTGAGTAGCTTACAGACCTGCAGTGCTAGTTGGTTCCCCTCCAGCCTCATAGCTGTTCTACAGAGGATCTAGTGTGTGTGTGCGTGTATGTGAGTGTGTGTGTGTGTATGTGAGTGTGTGTGTGTGTGTGTGTGTATGTGAGTGTGAGTGTGTGTGTGTGTGTGTGTGTGTGTGTGTGTGTATGTGAGTGTGTGTGTGTGTGTGAGTGTGTGTGTGTTTGTGTGTGTATGTGAGTGTGAGTGTGTGTGTGTGTGTGTGTGTGTGTGTGTGTATGTGAGTGTGAGTGTGTGTGTGTGTGTGTGTGTGTGTGTGTTATCATTATTAAAGAGTGTTTTCTGGTTTTGTTCTCCGGGGCTGTGCTATAAAGGAGGAGGGAGAGATGAAGGAGGTGAGTGAGACTGTGTGGGAGAGACTGTGTGGGAGAGACTTTGTGGGAGAGACTGTGTGGAAATGCTGGAATGTGAACAGTAGGAGTGAGGAATATCCTGAACCCTGTAGTATTAACACTCCCTCTGCATCTCTGCTGCACTCTTACAGTGTGTGACACACTATAACACACACACACAGAGGCAGACACACACAGAGACACACACACAGGCACATGCACGCACACACAAACTCACACACACACACACACAGACAGACACGCACACTCACACACAGACACACACACACACAAACACACACAGACACGCACACTCACACACACACACAGAACACACACACACACAAACACACACAGACACGCACACTCACACACAGACACGCACACTCACACACACAGACACACACACACACAAACACACACAGACACGCACACTCACACACAGACACACACACACACACACAGACACGCACACTCACACAGACACACACAGACACACACACAGACACACACAGACACGCACACTCACACACAGACACACACAGACACACACAAACACACACAGACACGCACACTCACACACACACACACAGAACACACACACACACAAACACACACAGACACGCACACTCACACACAGACACACACACACACACAGACACGCACACTCACACAGACACACACACAGACACACACAGACACGCACACTCACACACAGACACACACAGACACACACACAGACACACACAGACACGCACACTCACACACAGACACGCACACTCACACACAGACACTCACACACACAAACACACACAGACACGCACACTCAAACACACAGACACACAAACACACACAGACACGCACACTCACACACAGACACGCACACTCACACACTTTTGTCCAAATAAAAACAACGCACAATGTTCAAAACCAGAATGAAGATTTTTATCAAACTGATCACTGAGTTATGATTCACTGTTCAACTCTGCAATTATTATCATCATTTTGCTAGACTTTCAATCTACATCCCATAAATATTCAAACATGCTTACTTATATTATGTAAGTAATTACATACATAATTACATTTCATTTACATTCTGTATTGAGATTCGGGTCTTTTCTCACTACTTTAATTTTTATAGTATTCACTATGAATTATTCAGTATGTACTATAAAATATTCAGTATCTACTATGAATTATTCAGTATGTACTATAAAATATTCAGTATCTACTATGAATTATTCAGTATCTACTATGTAACATCATCTCTATCATACAAAAAACTTTTAGATGTTTATTTTTAATTATTAATTTGGTGTGATTTGAAAACATGACTTTACCCTCTGTTTATGTTTAATGATGAATGGACCAATAGAAATGCTCTGAAATCGTCTAGAATGAAGTGTCCCTAGTTTATCTTAGTCTGCAGCTGAAAATGTCTTCCTCTCCTGGTGGAGTTTCCTCTTCAGAGAGCTTTAGAGCTGAGGAGGTTAAAGCTGTAGACTCAGAGGTGAAGAGGCTCGTTAACCTTCAGTCTGGTCTGATTGTTTTGTTGTTCTTTTTGTTTTGCTCTTCAGCCCAAAGAGGAGGAGAGTAAGGTGTGTGTCAGTGTATCAGCCCACACACACCACCACACACACACACACACACACACACACAACACACACACACACACAGTTCACAGACCACTCTTTCATTTATTTAATCTTTCATTCATTTCCAGACAAAACGGCCGTCAAGTACAAGTTGTTCATTTTTCAGCATCAGAAAAAAGGAAACATATTGAACAGAAAATTACCCAGAATCCTCAACAGCTAAATCTACTCTCAGCTGTCTGAGTGTTCAGTGAGTCACTCTTTACCTTTATTCCAGCTTCCACTCTTTTCAGGAGACTCACTTTCAGTTCCTCAAAGAATCTGCAGACACACCTCCAAAGTTCAGTCTTAGAAGCTGGTTGATCATTTTCTGAAGTAATCAAACACATTCAGTGGTGTTGAGGTCTGGACTCTGGGGTGGTCAGTCCATCGTTCAGCTTCTTTGTTTGATGTGTCCGTCTCCTTTTCTCAGTGAGGTTCTTCTTGAACAGCTACACATCCTTTCAGACCCACAGCGCTGAGTCGTCTTCTCACAGTGGAAGGATGGACAGAAACACCTGTGGATGTTTTCAGATCTGAAGCAGCTTGATTTTCTCCTCTCTTTCAGAGATGAAAGCTTTAAGTCTTGTTAATCTGATGGGGGCAGTTTTGGTGTCTAACAGGTCTTCCAGGTGGTTGTTAGGGGTCACATTTTCTCTGTAGCTTTTCATCAGTTTTTGTCTTCTTCCTTGATCTAATATCTAATCTCGTTAGAAACGTCTCCTGAAAAATGAATAACTTGTACTTACTGGCCGTTTTAATAAATGAAGGTTAGTACTGTACATATTCACAGACCCCAGTAATTCAGCTGTGTTCGAGCTCATTATTGAGGATCTCTCTGAACTCTGGTCTGTACGTGTCTTTGACTCTCTTCTTCACTTTCCTCTCTTTCATTACTCGCTCGTCCTTGGTAGATTGAGGCGACGGCCAACACAAAGAAGGTGGGCACTGAGAGAAAGAGAGAGTGTGTGTTTTCCTTTTAGATGTTCTTTGCCATGTGCTGCTGATGGCAGTGTGCCCACTCTCAGCTGTCAGTGATGCGGTTTTCTCTTTAAACTGGAGGATGATTATGGTGGAGTCACCATAATCAATCTGACCTTATTTCACTCATCTTTCTCTACCTAGAACATGATGATAGCTTCCATAACCTCACTTAGCAAAACTCTTCTCTTCTCTTCTCTTCTCTTCTATATTAGCTGTATTCATCGTGTATGTATGAGGTGTGTTTCTGTGTTTTTGTTGACAGTTGGATTCCGAAGCTGCAGAAATCCTGAATGATCTTCAGGTGAAACTCAACACAGTTCTGGACAACCTGAGCGCCATGTTTGCCAAGAGGTATCACCATCATCAGCGTCACTGTTATGACTATCACTGCCATTATTACCATCACCATCACTGTTGTCTCTGATATCACTGTCACTGTTTTCAAAATTACCACCAACACTGCTGTCGCTATCATCACATTACCAGAATCATCACCATCACTGTCGTCACTTTCATCACTGTCATCACTCATCATCACCATCAACACTGTCACCATTACCACAATCATCACCATCACTGTTGTCAATTTCATCATTATAGCCATCACTACCATCACCATCAACACTGTCACCATTACCACAATTATCACCATCACTGTTGTCTCTTTCATTATTATAGTCATCACTCATCATCACCATCATCAACACTGTCACCATTAACCACAATCACCATCACTGTTGTCACTTTCATCATTATAGCTATCACTATCATCACCATCAACACTATCACCATTACCAAAATCATCACCATCACTGTTGTCACTTTCATCATTATAGCTATCACTATCATCAGCATCAACACTATCACCATTACCACAATCATTACCATCACTGTTGTCACTTTCATCATTATAGCTATCACTATCATCAGCATCAACACTATCACCATTACTACAATCATTACCATCACTGTTGTCACTTTCATCATTATATCCATTACTGTCATCACCATCATCAACACTGTCACCATTACCACATCATCACCATCATTACTACTACCTTTACCATCAAATTATAATCTTCCATAATGATAATTATCACCATGATCATTATTACCATTGCTGTCTTCACCACAAAAACATACTGACAGTCACTATCAGCATCATCACTGTCATCATTCTCATCAAAATCATCAGCATCATCATCCCAATCACCTTCACCTTCATTTACTAAACTCCCCTCTCTCTCTCTCTCTGTCTCTCTCTGTCTCTCTCTCTGTCTGTCTGTCTCTCTCTCTGTAGTTTCCAGGCTCGTATCAGTGTGTGTATGCGTCAGGTGGGGGAGATCCTGTATCAGATCAAAGGGCCGCTGAACCAGAACGCTCGAAACTCTGCAGAAGCTGACGCAGTCAATGCACTGCGGCCACTCATGGAGTTCCTGGATGCAAAGTGAGCTCACCTTCATCCTGTTCCATTACTCCTCCACCTCCTCATCCTGCTTCATTACTGCTCCACCTCCTCACCCTGCTCTGTTACTCCTACACCTCCTCATCCTGTTCCATTACTCCTCCACCTCCTCATCCTGCTTCATTACTGCTCCACCTCCTCATCCTGCTTCATTACTGCTCCACCTCCTCATCCTGCTCTGTCACTCCTCCACCTCCTCATCCTGCTATATTACAGTACCGGACGCCTTTTTAGCGACATGTTTACATGACATTATTTATTACTTACTGAAATAAAGCAAATCAAAGTATAAAAACAAATGAAATTGAATTTGCGAGAGTTTATTGATACAGTGTTTACAGAGAACCAGAGATTTGATGATTTAATTAAACTCTTTTGATGTGCGTTTGTTTGTACAGTCTGAGTATTTTTGCGGATCTGTGTGAGAAGACGGTGCTGAAGAGGGTTCTGAAGGACCTGTGGAAGAACGTTCTGATCTGCATGGAGAAAACCATCGTCCTGCCACAGAGCAGCGACAGCATCGTAAGAGTCCCACTTTACCATGACATGTACACTGTTTCACATCCTTACCAGACAAACACAGCACTAAATCGCAGTGTCAGTAACAGTGAGAGCAGGTAAAGGTGTGTTATTTTGTGATGTCATTATATTACAGTTCTATAGTAATTTACAGTTACATGATCATATTTGTTGTATTTATGTTCTCAGAATTGAGTCTGAAACTTGTGGTGCTGCTTGTGTTGTGAGTTTGAGTTAGAGGGGTTGATTTATTTCACTCTGTATTCCAGCGCCCTCTGCTGGTGAAAACTCATATCTCTGATTTTTCTCTTTGTGAACTGCAGGGGGCTCAATTACTTACAGCTGCCAAAGAGCTCTCCAAACTGAAGGTATTCACTGTAAACATAAACATAAACAAACACACAGCCATTTGCTACATGATGCTTTAAATAAAAGAGTCATTTAAAAAGTAAATAAATTCACTTACTTTATATACACATACAGAGAGGGTGCACTTTTACATAAGGATGTGTGAAACGATACAAGAGCAAAAAATGCAAATGTGGAAAAAAATTCAACCAGAATATTGAGATTTTATAATTTTATAAGAAATACATTTATAATATATTTAATAAAGTTAATGCATTACTCATGCTGGTATTTGTCTTTTCCAATATAAATATCAGAAGAAGCAGCTTACTGTATTGCACTGAAGTTTTATATTATAGTGCATTTAAACTACACTGTAGCTTTAGAAGCTGTTCTTCTGAACACATCACTGCTAGCCTCAGTACGTCTTCAGCTCCTCCAGAACATCTGGCAGCAAGAAAACTTAACATTGTAATTCAATAGACTGTTATCTGATTGAGGTCATTGGCTTCCAGTATTTCCAGTCAGAGTCCACTCTGAAGAAGCCCTGCCTGTATGACCATCCAGAGAGTATGGCTGTCAGACAAGCCTCCATAGCAGCATTAGCTTTAAATGCATATTAAACAAACTGTACTTGAAGTTCTCGTTTCTGGTGTGCTGGATTGATTTGACTGACCGCAAGCGAAGGCTGATTTCCAAATGGGACGTGATTGTATGCTTATGTTTGAGTTCTCACCTTCTGAATACGCCCTTCATGGCTGTGAAGTGGTCGTCAAGCAGCGGCTTTATGAATGCAGAGCGTGTTATATCGCCTGGAATATGAGGTTACATTTATACAGTAACAGCTTCAGTCTGTAGTGTTGTTGGTTTCATTTTTGTTGGTGTGGATACCGACTGTTTTGTCCATCGTCTGCTGTAGGGGGCAGAGCCGAAGACCCTCTCTCCCAGACAGTGTGCCATCATGGAGGTGGCGCTGGACACCATCAAGGTGAGTCAAGCATGCATTTCCAACAGAAAGATAGATTTGATTTACATTACGCAGAAATTTAGATGTCGTCGCTCACATAATCAATGAAGTGTACATTCTGTTTACATTGCCGCTGCATAATTACTTCAGTTTAAAGCTGCACTATGTAAGGGTCTTTAGCTGAGACTGAAACAAAATCGTTACAGAATAAAACAGCAAAAATGTAAAATACAGTAACTTTTTATAGCAAGTTTTAGCTGAAGATAACACAGCTAATAACAACTCTCTCTCTCTCTCTCTATGTATCTCTCTCTCTCTGGTCTCTCTCTCTCAGCAATTCTTCCATGCTGGCGGTGATGGACTGAAGAGATCGTATTTGGAGAAAAGTTCTGAACTGTCGTCTCTGCGTTACGCTCTGTCTCTCTACACACAGACCACTGACGCTCTGATCAAGACCTTCATCACCACTCAGCACACACAGGGTGCGTCTGTACACACAGTGGGACTGGGCAGTGTAACCGCATCTCATCATTATTGTGATCAATTTTAATCACGGTCTCTTCATATAGTGTGTACAGTCAGTACTTCACTGAATGACGGATCATAAAGGCAGATTTAGGCCAATAGTAGAGAGCCATTCATATGAATGTTGATTAATGAGTTTCTGATGTGCTGTTTTCTGTTAGTGCATAACGGCATGGGCATCAGGATCACTCCCAAAGAGACTGTGCGACCTGACCGAGGTGACGCTTCTGTCTTTATTTATGTTTTTCTTTGTTTTTCCTTCTTTTTTCTCCTGCTTTTCTGTTCTCTTTGTTTTAAGTAGACATATATGACAACTCACACTGCACTTTTATTGGATTGTAGGTTAAAAGGTTCTTGTCAATAAAATCATGTAGAATGTAGACTTTGTTGAAGTTACAAAACATACAGCCTATAGCAGTTTAGCTCCACCCATTCAGCCTACAGCAATTTAGCCCCGCCCATTCCTGTCAATGTGATGTGGAGTGTTGTTCCTGCTGACAGTCTGGAGTAGAGTTATTGGACTGGAAGATGTTGGAAAGCGATTAAATGTTGCGCTGTTCATGGCTGTCAGGAGGAAAATGAATCATTGCAGCCTTCCAGAGGATCCTCACATCCGAAAGTAGTGGCTGGAATTTCGATTTTCCTCCAACTCTGAGGATTTCAGTCCAAACCTACCAGTTTGTTCCACATTTCAGCCCAGACTGCTTTTAGAATGAGACACAATACAGGGGAGCCAATCAGAACAGAGCTCAGTTACGGCCTGTTTATTTTAAGACCTATGTGTCAGACTCCAGTCCTGGCAGACCGGAGCACTGCGTGAATTGGTCATGTAAAATAAATGACTGTTTTTGGTACATTAAACCGTACAAATGCTTTGAGTCGACTTCAGGGGGGAAATACAGAGGAGTGTAGAATATGTGCCCTTTAAACAGACTGTGATGTGTAGAAGACTGTTATAATGTTATTAGTTATTGTTAAGTGTGTGGTCAGTGGAGTTTGTCATGAGTTTGTATGTGATTGGCAGGATCTGGAGTGGAGCAGCCAATAGGGGAGGCCGTGATTCAGGTGGATATGGTGCCTCCTGCTGCCAACACTGAGCAGAAGCTCACCATCAAAGGTGAGAGAAAAATCTCATATCGCCCCCTACACTTCCTGTAGTGTATTACAGTCTGTCAGAATGACTGTGTGGATCATATGAACATTATAGAGGCTTTTTAAATGAAACAGTAGAAGCCATATCGCCCCCTACACTTCCTGTAGTGTATTACAGTCTGTCAGAGTGACTGTGTGGGTTGGGTATTGTCCTGGGTGTTGTTTTCTGTATTTTAACTGTACCTTCTGTTTGTCTCTCTCAGTGATTGCGGTGAATGATATGAAGTGGCAGACTTCTGGGCTCTTCCGGCCCTTCGTGGACGTTAACCTGGTCGGCCCACTGCTCGCAGATAAGAAGCGCAAGTTTACGACCAAATCCAAAAACAACTGCTGGACTGCCAAGTACAGCGAGGCCTTTCAGTTGTGAGTGGAATTTTCCCCACATTTTTCCTTTTCCAGCTCTGAGGATTAAAGCAGGTCCAGGTTTGGAAGCCAGTGTACACAGTTTCAGTGACAGTCCAGTCTGTGTGGTGAAAGGTGGTCAGAAACCTTCTCTTCCAGAGATTAAAAAGAATTTAATATCCAAGCTTTTTTCACTGTGATATGCTTTCTGTAGATAAGGCAGTCACAGTGCACACTTTAAATACATTAACGTTATTTAAAGTAGTCCTGTTTAGGTAAGATATACTAGGCCTTCAACCAGCACTGCAGATAAAGCACTTAGGATTTGAACTGTGTTTTATACTGACTTGTAATACTGACCTGATCCAGTTTGATTGACCGACCTGATTATTTATACAGTATCTACTTTAAACTATTCATTAGCTATCAGAAATTATTCAGTATCTACTATGAATTATTCAGTATATACTATGAATTATTCAGTATCTACTATGAATTATTAAGTATCTACTATGAATTATTCAGTATCTACTATTAAGTAAGTATCTACTATGAATTATTAAGTGTCTACTATGAATTATTCAGTATCTACTATTAATTATTAAGTATCTACTATGAATTATTCAGTATCTACTATTAAGTATCTACTATGAATTATTAAGTGTCTACTATGAATTATTCAGTATCTACTATATATTATTCAATATCTACTATTAATTATTAAGTATCTACTATGAATTATTAAGTGTCTACTATGAATTATTCAGTATCTACTATAAATTATTTAGTATCTACTATGAATAATTTAGTATCTACTATGAATAATTCAGTACCCACTATGAGTTATTCAATATCTACTTTGAATTACTTAGTATATGCAGAAACTACAATGAATTGGTGATTAACTACTAGGAATTATTCAGTATCAATATGAAATATTGAATATTTCTACATATGAATTTTTGCCTCTCTCTTTCTCTTTCTCTCTCTCTCTCTCTCTCTCTCCCTCTCTCTCTCTCTCTCTCTCCCTCAGTGTGCTGGGTAAAGGGGTGAGTGCGGAGTGCTACGAGCTGCAGCTGACGGTGAAGGATTACTGTTTCGGGCGAGCGGACCGCGTGGTGGGGCTGACGGTGCTGAAGCTGAGGGACGTGATGGACAGGCGCAGCTGCGTGTGCTGGTGCCCTCTGGGGGCCAAAATCAGCACCGACCAGACCGGACAGATCACCTTGAGCATCCTTGCTCAGAGACACGCAGACGAGATCGCCAAGGAGTTCGTCAGACTGAAGACCGAGAGCAGACCGGCAGAGGAGGGCAGGTAGAGAGACATAGAGAGAGAGAGAGAGAGAGAGAGAGAACCAGAGAGGGTGGAAAATAAGAGAGTGGAAAAAGCAAGAGAGAGAGAGGAAAAGGGAGAGTGGAGAAAGTGAGTGAGAGAATCAGGAAGAAGGAGAGAAAGGAAAGGAACAGATGAATCAGTAGAGAGAGAAGGGAGCTCAGAGGAGTGAGAAGCTGTTTCTCCCTCACTGCCTCCTCTCTCTGACAGACGCTGTGAATGGAGGGATGAACAGAAGGTGGAGAGATCCTCTGCACTGCTCTGGGTCTTCATGAGTGATGACGTCACTCTGGCTCGTATGAGTACACTAACAGACTGCATGTGTGTGTGTGTGTATATGTGTGTGTGCGTGTGTATATGTGTGTGTGTGTGTGTGTGTGTATATGTGTGTGTGTGTGTGTGTGTGTGTGTGGAATGAACTATGATTACTTTTTGCCAAACTCGGAGCCTTTGGGCTCTGTCTACACTGTTTCCTATTGGTGGCCTTAATAAGGGGGCGGGGTTATTGTAAAAGGGGTGGAGCTTCTATTAGTCTCAGTTCATTCAAAAACATGCCAGTTATTATAAAAGAACCGTTATCTCCTCATGATGTCATAAACTCCTGATGCTCTTGTCACATGGTCAGTGTGGGCGGAGACTGGATGTGTTAAACTAGCCTTCATAAACTGACCAGTCGACACTACAATTTTTACAAGCAAATTACATTTTCAAAAATAAATATACAAACATTCCACATGTGAAACTTCAAGTTCATGCAAGTTGACCAACATGCATAACTGGTTCTCTGAAAGGTCAGGGGTCCGTATAGCAGCACAGATCTAAATGTAGTGCTAACTTTAGCGTGATATTCTATGAAATTCCTCCTCGACTACAAATTAACACATAGCAGTGAGGCAGCACTCAGTCATGAGCTTAATAAGATGTAACTGTCTTTACTGCAAACGTGTAGTGTGACTGCAGCTTAATGCTTTAGTGGACATGATAATGTCCAGACTGCCTTCGCTTTAAGATGAATGGACGATTGCACTGCCCTCCCTGTTACGTACCAGTGTTTTCTCAACAAAGAGCAGCCTGATCGTTTAGCAGAGCTACAGCAGGCATCTGTTTATCCTGATTTCAACGCTGTTGGACCCTGACCAATCTAGATTTAGCATTTTTTGCCATCGTTATGATCTGATTTACTTGAATTTAACTCTAACTGCCCGAGTCCCTTCACTCACACAAACACTTCACTGCTTTTGCCAATTTTGTGTCACTTTAAGGGAACCATACGATAAACGCTCACACAGTGCTAACTGCCCCAGTCATGTATCGTCCACTGCCGTTGGTCAATCTCTGAAGCTGGTTGGCCGTGATTGGCTAAAAGATCTGATGGACAGCTCATCTAGAAGCTCCAGCCAGTGGGAGTGGAGATCACTGTGTGAACTTTGTGCCAAGTAGATTGTGATTAAGAGTGATTTTTTTATTATTTCTCCTCATTAATGCACAGAAGAGGACGAGTCAGTGAGGAAAGCGCTACTGTTCCAGCATGTATTTACTGTACACAGTGTCAACTACAGCTATGGCTTATACATTTTATTTTACGTACTGTCCAAAATGTGGAATAAAATCTTATTTATTTAGTTATGACTGATCTACTGTAGAGATTATCACAACTAAACTGTTGAATATACTGTATCAATATGTGAAATTTTGTAAATAAAAGATTTATCATGAATAAGTGTGCTCGACTGTTCCTTTGAAGATGTTTACTGACTTTTCTGCAGGTATTATTAGGGTTGCATTTCATGCAACTACTCATGTTGTGCGTTGCATGCAATACACACCAATCAGCCATATTATTCAAACCGCCTCCTTGTTTCTACACTCACTGACCATTGTATCAGCTCCACTGACCATATAAAAGCACTTTGTAGTTCTACAGTTACAGACTGTAGTCCATCTGTTTCTCTGCGTACTTTGTTACCCTGTTCTTCAGTGGTCAGGACCCCCACAGGACCCCCACAGAGCAGGTATTATTTGGGTGGTCTGCTTTTCAACCACCCAATCTACTGTTTGTTTTGGTCCACCGATCCAGTAACATCAGTGCAAAGTATGTTGTTCAGTGTGATTCATGTTTGCTTTATTGCTGTTTTGGCTGTTTCATGAAACTTGTTTGCAGCTGTTGCGGCTACATTACAGACGAGTTGCAGGAGGCTTCACATAATTATGCAACTTGTGCAGTTTAGTTTCATGTACGTTTCAGCATGTAAAGTCAGCCTTAAGCCGACTAGAAAACAGCCTTATTTACCTAATAATGTCAAAATTAGTAATATTTCCTATTAAAGCTCACGTTAATAAGCCATCAGTTTACTTAGACTGTGGCTAATTATTACTGTAAGGCTGTTCAAAGCTTCCTGATGGGTGTCTCTCCTCTCGACTGGACTGTACTGCTCTGTTCACTGGCTTATAGGAACCACAGACAGACTGGACAGCATAGAGCAGTTACGTTAATCCAGCTCAGAATTCTGGCAACCTGTTTCTTATAGGATAAACTTTTACGCTCTAAATCTCTCTCTCTCTGTCCCTCTCTCTGTCCCTCTCTCTCTCCCTCTCTCTCTCTCTCTCTCTCTCCCTCTCTCTCTCCCTCTCTCTCTCTCTCTCTCCCTCTCTCTCTCTCTCTCTCTCTCTCTCCCTCTCTCTCTCTCTCTCTCTGTCTGTTGTTACTGGAGTCTGTATCTTTGATGAATCATTTCCAGTTTGGCTGATCATTGACAGGACAAACACAGAAGCTGCGAATGTTGAACATTCCTCGTCTCTGTTGAGGCTGGAAAAGTGACCGAGGAGAACGTCCAGAACTTTATGGAAGGGCTGGTCTGTCCTGATCGTCTCTGTGCAGAGTTAGAGGTAAGACAGATCACCGGAGGTTCCTGAGTATCCGGGTGATGATCACCGCTGGTTCTGAGTAGGAATATGTTCATAAACTCCCTGCTTTGTACTGTAGTTATTTTCCATGATGTGACTTTGTTGATCTAAGCTGCTTCCATCCACTTCTGCAGTCCGAGGCTTTCCGTGTCTTTGACCTTTAGGCGCCGGGAATTTCTCTTTCTGGTTAATGGATATTGGTGAATTTTGAACATCATGGAGGTGTTTACGTTAGGCATAAACAGCACAGATAAACACAGAGCGTTTAGACGTCTAGTGTAAATACAGTGTGTCAAGAACTGGGATCGGACAAACTACACCAGGAACCGCGCTTTACATTACGTGGACGAGTACTCAAGCACTCGGTTGATCGTCCGAGGTGGCAGTATTCCAAAACTAAAACCACTGTGTGGATATACCTCGCCATCTGCCATCCAGTGCCCAGCTCCCTCGTGGTCACTTGTTCAGTTTCATCACAGAAAGACAGAGAAAATATACAGGCTTACAATTCAGTGAGACGTTGCTTTTGAAGAAGCAGCCTCTGCTACTCATCCACAACAAAAACCTGCTGATTTCCTTTTGCTATGCTTGGATAATAAAACATTTTTTAATGTATTATTCTGCTCTGCTGTTGCTGCTAAATTTACCATCTTTACTTGCCATCTACTTGCAACCTTTTGCTTACAGCTGGGTAGCCTTAGTGGGGACCCAGGCCGAACAGGTAGGGGATCCCAGAGGTGACCTGCAGTGGCCATGTGGATATACCTCGGCATCTGCCATCCAGTGCCCTGCTCCCTTGTGGGAAAGTCCTAGGTGCTAGTCATCTCAGGTTTACCTCATCACTGGATACTTCCCAGAGATGACGTGCAGTGGCTCTCCGTATGAATATACCTTGGCGTCTGCCGTTTAGTGCCCCGCTCCCTTGTGGGAAAGTCATCTCAGGGGCTTGTCATCTCAGGTTTGCCTCATCACTGGATACTTTCCAGTGCTTCTTTCTGTGAAGTGTACGATTTTGGTTGTAGTGCATCCAAATGTCACTTTTTAAGACCAGCATGCAGGCATCTACACCTACATGCTTGATGTCTCTTGACAAGTCTCCTGGTGATGGGAGCAGTGGTCATTCAGTCCCTCATCCGAACATCCAATCTTTTTTATAACGGATGCTGTGTACCATCACTCAAATAATTTGGATGTGTCCAGTCTGAGGACTACAGTATTCACCTGGACCTTATTGGACTGGCCTCATCCTTCATCTTATGGAGTTTTTGCGCTGGGCAGCACGGTTTGGCACTGTCCGAACCCAGAACTCAAGGTACCCTGCTCAAGTACCTGTGTCCATTTCTCGTCCGCCAGCAGAACCATGAAAGTTGGCGAATTCTTTTTAGCTCATGTGGTCACATGATCTCTTAACACAAACAAGAGGGGCAACAAAGGAGGAGCTTCAAAACCTGATTTACCTTTTACTTGCTGTTTGGTTTTAGCTGGAAGTCACACTTACCAATTCTGGCCAGCTAATGTTTTCTTCTTTTAACGATGGTCATCTGATTCCAGTGACACCTCGGGACAAATCTGTATCAATTGTATTTGACCAGTCTGTGGTTTGCTTCAGTTCTGGCTCCACCCATACGTTCTGGCTTGGCATGCTTAGTACCCCAGCAGAAAGTGTGACCAAATTGAGGCGGGGCACTCAGGTACAGTCCGGTTCACTTGGTAGTGACCAGTGGAAAAACAAAAGCAAGTGTTTCTTAACAGCAACTTGCACCTTACCAGCTGTCTGTCAGTGTGTCTGTCCACGTCTCTCAGAGATGAAAGCTTTAAGTGCTGTTTATCTGATGGGGACAGTTTTGGTGTCTAACAGGTCTTCCAGGTGGTTGTTAGGAGCCACATTTTCTTCGTAGCGTCTAATCAGTTTTTAACTCATTTTTTGGAAACTTTTTTCACTTCTCTCCTTATGCAAGTGGATAATCTTATCTCATCTCCTCACAGACTTCTGCTTAGAAATGAATAACGTATCTGTGACTATTTTGGGTGAAAATGTAACAAACGATGGCTGATCTTGGAAATTTGCACTGTGTACAGTTTCTCCTTTCGCTTATTGCGCGTGTACGAGACTCGTCTTGTTTTTTTACATGTGTTTATAGTGTGTTTATGGTCCAGAGGAACTGAAAAGAACCATCTGGACTCATTTAGATTAACTGATCTGATCTGCGGTCAGTTTCAGACTTACAGCTCTAGTTATTAGACTATGTTAAAGAGGGACGAGGGAGAGGACTGACCCCAGACCAGCACAGCTATACCGAAACGTCTGATAGAATAAGCCATTGTGAGTAAGGGAGTGAGTGAGTGAGTAAGTGAGCGAGAGAGAGAGAGTGAGTGAGCGAGTGAGTGAGTGAGGAGTGCAGCGTGTGGCTGCAGTGCTCTCTGTCTGGGGCTCTCAGAGCGCGGGAGACGGAAAAAAGAGAAAGACTCACTTCCTTTTTTGGCGTGCAGGAAATTGATACTTTAAGCAAGAGAGCGAGAGAAAGGAGGAGGAGGGAGGGAGAGAGAGAGAGAGAGAGAGTGAGGGGGAGAGAAAGGGAGGTTTGTGGAAGGTTGAACAAAGACTGTATCATAGAAAGAGAGAACTAATGGAGTTTGGAAACTGAAGAAACAGAGAGAGAGAGAGAGTGAGAGAGAGACAGAGAGAGAGAGAGAGAGAGAGAGAGAGAGAGGAGTGGAGCAGACGGAGAGAAGGAGAGGAGTGTGTGACAGTGTGTGAGAGTGTATGAGAGTGTGTGAGCGGTCCCGCCCCGTTCACTGTTTATCTGCAGGGGCGTGTGTGTGTGTGTGTGTGTGTGAGAAAGTGAATGAGTGTGGAGGCCAAACCCCCCTCTCAACACTACAGAGAGAAAGAGGGAGAGTTGAGGGGGTAAGAACGTAAAGAGAGAGAGAGAGAGAGAGAGAGAGAGAGAGAGAGGGAGAGTAAAGGGCCTGAGGGAAGCTATGAAGCAGCTGTGGAGTCCCTGTTTGAAGTAAAACACCTCTGGATTTATCTTCCGCTCGTTGAGACGGACGGACGGGCGAGTGGACGGACAGACAGACGGACGGTAAGTCCTACAGATGAAAGGTTAGAGGGCACAGCGTCCTGCAAAAATACCGGAAGAGACAGAAAAGAGAAAGAAAAAGAAAAAAGAAGCCAAACGTTCTACAGAGCTTCACTGGATTAATGTAACATACAGTATCGCCAAAGAGTCTCTCTCTCTCTCTCTCTCTCTCTCTCTCTCTCTCTCTGTCTCTCTCTCTCTCAGTCTCGGTCTATCTCTAAGTGTCTCGGTCTGTCTCTGTTGCTCTCTCTCTACCATCTCTCTATCTATCTATATCTCTCTCAGTCTCTCTCTCTCTCTCTCTCTCTTTTTTTTTCTCTCTCTCTCTCTTTCTCTCTCTTTCTCTACTGTTTCTCTGCCTCGGTCTATCTCTATCTCTCAGTCTCGATCTATCTCTCTCTCTCTTTCCTCTCCTCTCTCTGTTTTGGTCTATCGCTTTCTTTTTCCTCTATCTGGTTTTCTCTCTTTCTTTGTTTAGGTCTATCTCTTTTCCTTTACTATCTGTTTCTCTCTGCCTCACTCAATCTCTCTCTCTTTTTCTCTACTATCTCTCTCTGCTTCACTCTATCTCTCTTTTTCTCTGCTATTTTTCTGCCTCTCTCTGTCTCTCTCTCTCTCTCTCTCTCTCTCTGTTTTGGTCTATCACTCTCTTTTTCTCTACTATCTCTCTCTCTCTGTCTTTCTCCTCTATCTTGTTTTCTCTCTCTCTGTTTTGGTCTATCTCCTTTTCTCTACTATCTCTGTCTTGCTCCATCTCTCTCTTTTTCTCTTTTTCTCTCTCTCTCTCTTCTATCGTGTTCTCTCTCTCGGCTGTGCTCAGTCTCAGTTCAGGGTGCTGTGTAGGGATGATGCAGTGCTGTGTCCGTAGTGCTGCTGAAGGTCAGTCAGTGAGCTCTTAAAGAGAGGTCAGTTATCAGAGCGTGGTGAGTGTGTTCAGGTGAGGGACTCTGAAACCTGTTGAAGTGCCGGAGCTCGGTGGGAGGTGGAGGAGCCGGCTCAGATTTCACTCTTCAGAGGGAGCAGAGCTTTAAAGAGATTCACCTCCACGGTGACGTGTGCGAACTCTGCTTCTCTAAAATGTAACGTGTTGTCAGAATGAGCTCGTTGCTCTGAATGCCCGATTGTTGTCTGTCTGAACTGAGCGAAGGTCGAATTACTGAGATGCACTGAAGCAGCAGATTAGCTGAAAAGCTGATTCCTCCAGTTTCCCCCTGAATGCAGTCAGTCAGTCAGACACTACATTGGTGTCTGAGGTTGGCTTCTAAAGTTGTAGCACTGGAGCTACAAGGCTAATGTAGCTAACAAGTAATGTAAGCTGACAGTACTGGTTTATGTATATTTAAAGAATATATATGAATGTTTAAATACCACTTTTGAGCGACAAACTGGATCATTTTGTACTTCTAGTTTGCTTTTCATGGCAAATGGTAGAAAATAGACTCCAAACTTTGAGCGATTACCAGATCGCGGAAAGCGTAACTGAACTGATTGTGTTACCGGTATAAAAGGCCTCATCGCTAACATGGGAGCATTTCTTCTCCTTGTGTAAAATGCAGAGCATTTTCTTTCAAACAGCACTTCAGCTTTAAGAAGTCACTCAGCGTTACTCATTAGTGAGTGAATGTCCGGTGTTTCTCTGCTTATCTTTTAGTGGACATTAATTAAAGCAGACTAAACAATTGAACTAGCTGTTTTCCTTTAATCCATACGGTCCACACAAACCCAAACTCACACATCAGACACCCGCTCATCAGTACTGTAGGTGTGGTGTTTTGGGGGGTCCTGTTTTCTGTACTCAGGATCCAGTGCTCATCATTGTGAGTGGATTCTTCTTGTTTCGTTCTCAGGGTTAGTTTGTTGTGGGAATGGAATAGGCTTTGACTCGAATAGATCCGTACTCCCTCATTAGCATTGCGCTGTACTCACCTCTTTTATTTGATGTCACCGCATGACCCCACCACCATTTTGATGACCAGTGTAAAGGAAATAGTCAATGCCGGATTCTCTCAGGGTCAAATTCTCACTTATAGAACTGTAAAATTAAAAGTTGACACTGTACAAACATTTATTTGATAGTATGTCTCTGCAGTTAGCCTAGCAACCTGTTGTACCTGATAAAATGGCCCAATAAATCTAATAAACTGGCCACTCAGTAATTTGTCTCACTGCTGTACATTATTTTACCCTATCACAGCTTATGTGACAACAACCAATGAAAAAAGAATAAAAAGTCAAAACTATTCACTTAATTGTTTAGCAATGCAGTGTACAGTAGTGGGAGACACTGAGCACACTGTGGTGCACATTGATATAAAGATCTGTGGTGTTTATTCAGTATAAAGAGTGCATGGTGGGAAGCTGCAGTCTTCGGAATCATGTCCAGACTTCCCATTTTACAACTCGGTCGTTAAAAATGTCCGGGTTATGTAACAGCATGCTTAAACGCAGATTAGCTTTAGTTACGATGAAAGAGCCGGCCCATACAGTGAGCGCCCTCCTGATGTTTATCAGTATTCAGGAGAAAACTCGTCTCCTAGGGAATTAATTAATCCAGACTAAACAAACAATCTGTTTTCTTGCAATCCATACAAACTGTACATACCAAACCCTTTAGATTACTGAGCCTGATATTCAAAATGTGATCCCTCTGTTTGTAAACATGGAAAATACAGTTTATCACTACTGTAAAAATGATGTTTTTTCTTTGGTTTTTCTGTGCTGTAGAAACTCAAAAGAGGACTCAAACGTGAGTAGATTCTTCTTGTTGTGTGCACAAAGCTAATTAGCATTAGTTTATCCTCCCAGTCTAAAGCATCTCTGATCCCTTGGCATCATATATAGGTGTGCAGTATCATCATGCTTGTTGGATTTTAACTCTAGATAGATACAGTCAAGCGAGCTCTCTCATTGGTTAGTAACCAGATCACTTTTGTGGAATTTTTATAATGGGCCGGAATACAGACCTTGGAAGAATTCCACCTTTCTTCGTCAAGTCCAAGCAAAGTTAACTAAAGTCTATACAACCTTGGAGTATAATCTAGCACGTTTGGAATATTTTCTTTAGTCTTGGACTTATCAGTGTACATATATGTATATATATATATATATATATATATATAGTCATTTTGGGCCGTTTCTTTTGGTCAATTCATCATGAAGTAATGTAAAGAGCAGCAGGCATTTTCAAATTATGTCAAAAACTGAAAAATGATAAAAATGGGGATACAAGGTTTTGTTCCGACAGCAGCGATATGTTTGGAATATTCAGATAACAGTTGAGGGTCTTGCTGTGGATCATTATATTGGAATATCAGATCACCAAGTTGGGTGCATCCTGGGATCACATTCTTGGAATTTTAGATCAATATTTTGGATTCATAACTTGGATCATAATATTGGAATATTAGATCTCAATTTTGGATCCATAACTGTATCATAATAAAATGAAACCACAATGTTGGAATATAAGATCATTATTTTGTCAATGTAAAATGAATTGCATCAGCTGTGGTGAAACATGGTGAAATGGTGGCACTGAGCAAGCTTTCCCATTCAAGCTTCAAGGCTTAAAGTTAGGGTCAGGACTTCAGGAGCTGGACTGAAGGCCTCACACATTAGATTAACAACCAACATAATTAAGAATTGATTGATAATGAGTGTTGAGAAAAAACATCACTGTAGTCCTTCGTGAAGTTCTAGATGTGTCACTGACTGCGAATAGGAGCCGTAATCTAAGCAGTGTTCCGGGTAGTTGTTAGGAATGTAAAACAGTGGCGGCAGCTCTATGCCAGGCCTCTTTACTGAAAGAGTCGCTGTAATATATAGTATAGTATAGTGTATATATATATATATATATATATATATACATATATATATATATATATATATATATATATATATATATATATATATATATGGAATATATGTTAATGTCTGTTACAAGATCATAATGTTTTTAATCTAGAAAAGCCAAAAAATGATAATGTGCACCGTTAGCATAACGCTAACATATTATCAGATTATGAAGAATATGAAATGGCCCAAACTAAAGAGTTAGCACTAAAAGGTAACTGAACATGTCTTTTCATCATCTTAGATATTTAGATCTAGAGGTTTTAGCTGAAATTCTTTTTTTTGTTCCAAAAACAAAAAAAATTGAAAGTGAAAAAGTGAATCCTATATATGAATTATTTCCCAAACAAGCTTTTACATGTTAAAAACATTGTGAAATAACCCCCAACAGGCACTTTTATTTAGAACTTAAGTGATAGCAGTATCATCCCAATTACTATATGTACCTTGTTTAAGTTTAATTAGCATAATCTGTGTCCTCGTTAATGCATTTGAGCCAATCAGGTGTGCCCTGTTTGACAGAAGGTCAGTATTTCTGATTGGAGGAATAACGTTATCATCCTGTCGTTGAAAAAGAGTAAATCATGCTATACATTCTTTGTAATTATGGACTGAATTGTAGCCTGTAAGATGAAATAAAATGGAGCTGAACTAAAACAATCATGACCCCTGTGTAAGGTCAGTGGCCTTAACATGTAGCGGCATCGCTAACTAGCCCGTTTGCCACTGACCCAAACAAGCGCTCGCTGTGAAATACCACACATCAATAATGCAGCGCATCATAACTGACAGCGCTGTACGGTCATTGTTAATGGATGAATAATGGAGTGGTCATTAGAAATTACACGGCCTTATCAGGTAAAGTGAGAGCTCTTGTGTGCTTTTGAGAGAAGTCAAGCACAGCCCTGAGGATGGGGTGAATTATTCAGGGAGCGGCTGCTCTGGCCTGAATGATTTTTCCATCTATTATTAGCCCGACGTTTTAGTCTGACGCTAAACTGAGAGGCGTGTGCTGTTCTGGTTGAACTCACTGTTACCTTTAGCTGATCTCTGCGTCACCATAATCAGTTTCCAGCCCCAATGCGATCAAATAGTCATATTTATCTGGAAAAATTGCATCAGCGTCACCCTGTGGGAAATATGAATGTCAT